AGATACATGTAGACTCTGGTAGATACGTGTAGACCCTGGTAGATAGCTGCAGACCCTTGTCGACCGTGTAAGACTAATGTTCTTCCGCTTAGTTCGTATATGCAAAGATTTGTTTGAAATCTGAATTACTTTGTAATTCATTTACGTCATGCACTCGTATTGTATCAATTTTTCTCTTTCATAGCATAAGGAATCCTCATAATCTCTTTTCTTTAGAACGCTATGGACACAGCAGATGTCGTGCCTTCTATCTGAACAGTGGTCATACGTTACGGTCCTTTGAGTTCTTATTTTCTATAGAATCTCCTTTTTCTGAGCGTGAGACGTGGATTGGTTTCAGTTTCAGTTGTTTTTGGTTGGAATATTGCTTCCGGGATCCGTTGTGACTTCCGGAGACTGGAATCATGTTCTTGGGAAAACTCGTTGTATAATATTTTAGAAATGTTTCAATTATACGTTAAACATCCCTCGCCCTCAATTTATGGTTTATCATGAAAAACGTTATTTATTAATGATCTCAAAGTATAGATATCTTTCCCAATCTAGTGATCATAAGAATTAATGTATTTGATTGTTGAGTCTTCATCGCCGTGCTTTTCTTTGTGTGTATTGAATAGATGTGTCAATGAATCCATGTATTGTTTTTGATACTGATCGACAATTTCATCAGTTATTTGCTCTGGCGACAACTTTGGTAATTCTATAGGTTCACCAACATAGGAATCAATCGGCCGGCGTTTGGGTATAAAGCCGAAATACTTTTGGAATAGGCCACAGCCTCTGAAGAGCGGCATTGTATTACCTGTTATCTTGTACAACAGTAGCTGAAAGTTGCGTAGTTTTGATCCGCGTGGATTAGCTAATTGTTCGTAGATATGATTTTCGCCAAAAGAAAATACAGGAACAAGACTAGCACCATGAGCAAGACCGAGTTTAACAAATCCTTTACGATCTTTAAGTGTCAAAATATATTCGGATGATGAATGAGCATCTAACATTTATTTGACACCACCCAATACCAACATCAAACTATTGCCATTGCCCTTTTTCAAGATATAATTACATGATGTTTTAGACACATCAGAGAGATCAAGCATAGATAAATAAGGGTCAACACATGGCATGGTCATGTATGATTTCAAAGTGAGTAATCGAATGTCTCTACCAGAAAATTTCTCTGAAAAACCAATACCTTCTGTAGCAAAATTCACAAAAGCACCAAGTGAAATGGTTCCACGAGGATGGCAACCAAATATATAAGAACGGTCAGCTGATAAATCGCATGTTTTATGCAGTCGAATTGGAAAATATTCTAAATTAAAAACTTTGATTCTTATTCAAACTGCGCTGTTTTTTAGTAGTCAGTTCTAATTGAAAATAAAATACGATTCTCTATTATCTGAATAGTAGCAAATCAACTTACGAGCAGCCACTTTCCACCAAAATGCTCGACGAAGCCATTTTAGCCTGCGACCATTTTGTTGTAGATATGTTCGAAAGAAAATCATTCGTATTACATAGATAACAGGAATGACAATCAGACCCCAATTAATTAAAAAAAGCAAACCCACAAATACGAACAGAGAAAGACATATAATCAAACGGCAAAGAAGAGCAGTCAATGTTTGTTTATGACAATGCTTAAATGGGAAGTTTTTTCTATTAGTCTTAGTTTCTTCATACTGAAATCTAGTAGTTACAGACTCTCTGCATGATGTTAAAACGCTGTTCAGAGTTTCAGTAGTGTCAAATTTGAAAGTTGAATTCAATTATTGAAATCAGTGGCGCAGGCAGGGGGGGGCATTGGGTAATTGCCCTACGATTTAAAATTTATTGCCCAACGAATTTTTCAGATGATGGCATTTGCCCAATGCCAAAAGCTCGGACACGAGTGCATTTTTGAAGATCACATTGACGTTTTATTAATAAACAGCTGCTTATCGCCATTTAATCAATCCATTTAAAAGGATCGGTTGAGATTTGTTTCATTAAACTAATAAACATAATGATTACATTGCTTTGATATTTTTCGGTCAAGACTCCTTGTTCTACTCAGCATCGCTGATGTAAAATGTGGGTAGATTCTCATGTATTTTCCTGAATAATTATATAAGATTATTTAGAATGCAAATAACTGAAATTATCTAAGAGTAGCACTGCTGAAGTGAGTAATAACATGACTCGCACAACTTAAGAACTAAATACTTAGAGAAACTAGGTAGAGAATTTAAAGAAAAAAAACAATTGAATGCATAAATTAGGAGCAAAGTTGCACCTGGTAGGACCTTTTCTTTAACGATATAGTTTGAGAAGGTCGAGTGATATTTCAGCATAAGTCATTATTCATATTTTTTTACCTGATATTAAGAAAATCAACTTTTCGATTAGTCATATCCATCTTGAAATCCATGCAATAATGAAATAATATTTATTATAGAGCATTTTTTCCTGTCGATTTCGATGTATTTTTTACACTTAACGTCTTTTAGTGAACAGAAACCTATATAGCACTATAAATTCTACGTTGCCTTTCTTTGGACTTTATTAATTATTCGTTAGATATAGACATCGATCAGTAGTGCCACGTGCAATCTGCTTTCGTAATCACTCATGGTTTTCGAAATTTGTGGGAAATCTATCCTGGAAATACTATGATTAGTACAGAGAATACATCCTATTCCGCAATGTTGAACATTCCGGAATCAGTTCCGCTCACGGAACCAATTCCATCCAATTCCCGAAATTCCGTTCATCCCTTCCAACACAATTCCGGAATTCCAGGAATCACTGCCGATCAATTCCATCTAATTCCCGGAATTCCGTTTATCCCATCCTATTCAATTCCCGCATTACACGGAATCCAAACGGATTCCACCTAATTCCCAACGATTCCGGAATTCAGTGCACTTACACTAACATTCACATCCACACTTACCACAACACCCACACCTATGGCAACACCCACACTTACCGCAACACCCACACCTATGGCAACACCCACACTTACCGCAACACCCACACCTA